ATTCAAAATATTGAGATGATATTCAAAATATTTAGCAATAGATGAGACATAAGCACCTATCAAAACGGATACCAACTGTAAGCAACTGATAAGGCCATAATGGCTGAATATTATTACATTTGCCATTACCCTGTGGCTTTTTAAATGCCTCCCATGTGCTTACAATGCTCACATATATAATTTCAAGACCTCTCTTACAAGAACCAGAAGTGCCTATGTAATGTATCCATATATATAAATAAATACCATATATATAACTATATATAACATATATATATATATACACACACACACTCTATCCTTCCAAGCCCTCACCCTGACCCAGCTGTCACCACATTCCAGCCTTACTAGATTTCTCTTGGCTTCCCAAATACACTCCCATCTTCGCATGCCCCATCTTTTATTGTTATTTCATTTTTAATAAAAAAAAAAAAGGTACATATTTCAAGTAAAATATTCCAGAAAGCTTTAAAATGTAAGAACAAGTTCTTTGCCCTATTCTGACTCTCCAAGCGCTCTCCTAAGAGGCAACCACTTTTAACAATTGTAGCTATTTCTTCTGGCAGTTGCCTCTACTAGATGTAGTTATCTCTAAATACTGTTCATACTCCATTTCTTGATTTACCAATTAGATACACTACTGATTTCATTCATGTATTACCATGTCTTGATTTTTAAATTTTAGGTGTTGTCTGTTGACTTCCACTGTGAAATAGAAGCATTTTTAGTTCTCTTTACTCCTCACTCTCCACTTAGCATCACCACAGATGTACTGTACATTCCTCATCTTCTCATCCTCCCAAAGACTAAAGATTCAACTGCTCCAGTCTGGAGCCCTCTGCCTGGGGTACTATTGCTGTTGGTGTCAGCCTTTGCCATCATCCTGATGCTTCCTTTCAACTCTCTCTTGCATTAGATCTCCTGTTTCCTGTATTCCACATCTTGGCTTGAAGGGAGTGAATAGGATAAAGGTGTATCTTAGTAGCTTCCTAAATAACAGCATATGGAAAATAATTTTTTGAGAACTTGATTATTAGTGGAACGGGTGTAGAATTCTAAATTGGAAATCAACTTTATTCAAATAAGGCACAGCTCTTCTTTTCTAGCTCCAAAGCCATTATGATCTGTAGAGATGACCTTTTTCACTTAAGTTTTTGGAAGCTTGATCCCAGCATTCTGAAATTTTACAATAATGTGCCTTGCATGGGCTGTGTTTTCATCCATTGTGCTGGGAACTCTGTGAGCTGTTTCAATCTGGAAATTTATATCCCTCAATTTGGGGATATTTTCTTGAATCATCTCTACTATCATTTCTTTTCCTCCACTTTCTCTATTCTCTCTCTCTCTGTGCTCCTATTATTTCAATGTTGGATTTCTCAAACTGGTCCTTTACTGGTTCTCTCCTAGTTTTCATTTTGCCTATCTGCTCTTTTTTGTAAGTTTTCCAACTTTATCTTCTGGATCTTCTACTCAGTAATTTCTGACATTTTAAATTCCAAGAGCTCTTTTGTGTGTGTGTGTGTGTTGTTCTGTCTGTGCTTCTTTTTAAAGCATCCTATTGTCTCTTGGATATCTTGAATGCAATCATTTCTGTTATCCCCTCATGATATTAATAACAGTCCTCCCCTCTCAAGTTGCTTGATGCTGTTTGTTTTTGTATTTGATCTCATGTTAGAGGATTTTCCCCGATTTTTATGCTTGATTGCCTGTTTAAGAGTGGGGGATGAAAAGACTGCTTGAAGCTCGTGCATGCGACCTAGTGACCTAGGCTTCATTGTAGAGAGATCAAGCCAAGGATTACTCAAGGATCAGCATCTTAGTCTTTCCTCTGGGGCTAGGCAGATTTCCCAGATAAGATTCTTCCAATTTCCTACCAATTTCCTACTAAAGGCCTGGCTCTCATCCTTCTGGGAAACTAGTAGGCATACATATATATACTATTCCTCCTATTTTCCATACTGAACCCCTGAGCTCAATAGTACTTAGCATCCCTCAAACAAGAAACCCCTCTGTTTTACTCTCCCCAGAGAACAAACTAACTGGGTGGGCGTTCACTTAGGAAGAAGGGTTCTGGCGTTTTAACAGTGTCTTAAATGGCTTTCAATCAACTCTACTTATTTTAGTATTCTTTCCTTTGCCCCTAAGGTACCAGCTACTGCCAATTCCTGAGCCTGCAGGAAGGTCCCTGCAGCACAAACTGGATTGGCTCTTGATTTCCCATTGCTGGCATAGGGTAAAACTGCTAACTCAGTCATCACATTTACTCTCCAGCATCTGAAACAGTTCCTCAGTCAATGTGGATTTATACTTAAAACAGAGACAAACCACGGTCCCTGTACAGCACTCTTAGCGGGGTTTTGGGCAGGAGTCAAATTAGATGTGTCTGTTCCATGTGCTACCTTTCTGGAATCTCCTTTTTGTTTTTAACCTTCTCAAATTATTCAAGTCCATCTGAAAAAACTGCTCTAATATCTTTGTGACTCTGGGCAAATTGTTTAAACATGTATAATAAGGGCCAAAATGCTTGCACTTTATATCACTTGAGTGTTGTGAAAAATAGGCAAAATGATGTGTGCCTGTTCAAGAAGAATGTGCTAGATCACGCTATGGTTTATTGCTGTCTTCTTATAGGAAGATACTACTTCACCATTAGTAGGGTGAGTTGTTTTTCCATCAAGGATGATGCACTAGATGATGCTCTCTCCCTGTCTTCTTTGTCCCTCATTTACAAATCAGCTTTTAGGTTAGTGATACAGTGCATAGATTTATGCTTCTCCATGACAGGTGATCATCAATTCACTAAATGAAATGCAATATAAACTAATGACTTCAGCCTCCTTATGTTCTAACCAAAGCAATGAAGACTTTATGTTGTTTGGGTATGCGCTGCTCATGTGTGTGTAACTGTGTATGAATTCTTAATACAAATATTTTTTATCTCTTTCCAGGCATCTGGATTATGAGAACAACAAGTTAGCAGGCCACACCATTCAGAAGAGAGAGGAAATTAATATTCCTGAGAAAAGAGGAAATTAGATACAACTTGACAGGGTGAGGCATCTAGCTCCTAATGAAAAACAACTTTTGATTTAACACAGTATTATCACCTTCAAAGTGTTTGGTAAATATTAAGCTTTCTTTTCACACCTTCAAAGGCTTAAAGCACCACACAGGGAGCTAGCAGGCCCCTTGCAGCAACAAAATGCTATAATTCTACCAACAACTGGGATTTAGGAAACCTGGGTTCTAGTCCCAGCTCTTTCCCAAACTGGCTATGTGCCCTCAGATATGATATTCAGGCCTGCCTGGACTCTTCATCTACAAAATAATAATTCCTATCATTCTTTCACCATTGATTTCCTATTGCCACCAGCGCAGCAAAAGTAAATAAATCAAAAGTAATTTATTCGTTTAGAAAATTTAAATATATTTTAAATACTAATGTAAACATTTTTTGGCCTGGGTGCCAGAATTAATTTAGTCTGAATACCCATCAACTGCATGGAAATCCTATCTCTAAAAGTATCAATTTTATCAACAAATACAGTAATTTTTACCTCAAATTATCAGGTAATGTAAGACTCCCATCTAAACTCATTTTTTTCCTAATCTTTAGATTTAAAATTTTAATGAAAAGACTTTTTGGGTGGGGTGTGAAGTACAGAATCTTGCTTTGTATTTTTATATCTCAAGTGATCAAGATCTCATCTGTAAGATAAACTGATTTTTGTAAAATATTTCATAATTTGTCATATTGGTTGGTCATAAAGTGAGCCTTATTGTACCGCAGCAACTGGATTTTTCTACTTTTTAGAGGAACGTTTTAATAAATTAAAGTGGCAATTAAAATGGTTTCAAAATAGAAAGGAAAGAAGGGGGTTTCGCATCCTACTCAGAATTACCATAATATATTTATGGGGTAGGATTTATGGGGTATGATCTGCATACTTTGATCTATTGTGCCTTGGTTCAAACCCTAGCTTTTGTCACTATCTTGCTCTGTGGACTCTAGGCAAGCCATTTAATTGGGGGTCAGCCATGTCACTTCAAATGTGTTGTGAGGATAAAATGAAATCAACAAAAGTATTCTAAAAAGAAAAAAAGGAAATTAATACACATATATTGCTGCTGTGGCTAATCAGCTCAATTATTTAAGCACCTGTTTGGGGTTGGGAAGGTTGGGGGAGTTGGGGCCTTACTCTATTTTATTTTATTCCAATAACTTCTCTCTGATCCCCATCCTGTCTTTCACAGAGCCAAAGAGGCCCATGCTTTAGTCCACATACTTCACCATCACCGGAAATAACCTCCTTATTAATCTTTCTCAGGCCTTGCTTTCAACCAGACCAGGTATCTCATCACGTTAAGACTCAGCCATCTTCTACTTTTTATGTTCACTATCAAGCTTGCTCTCTCGTGAGGCAACGTCAAGCACAGAAACCTATCTGGAAGATAAGGATGCACGAGCAGATTGGAACCACTGCTCTCTAAAGGCTTTCTAAGCCTACAGGTGGGAATTGCTCCTTCCCGGCGGTGACCGCTGACCAAGGCGGATGAAGTCAGCAGTTCTCAAAAGCACAGAGCATGACAAGCACTCTCCGGGAGGCGTCATTCCTTAAAAGTCTGCTCGCTAGAAAACCGCCTGGAAATGTCAGACAAGTGTTCGGGGAAAGAATGGGAAATTCCTAGTCACAAGTCTCTGTAGTGTTACTACTGTACCTTACACAAGAAACTGACCAGGGGGTGGGGCCGGCTTTCATTCGAGCATGCGGCATTGCTACACTGTGCCAGAGCTGGTCTCTGGAAGGGAAGGCTGCGATAGCCTTGGCTCCCGTGGAGGGGGCTTTTACGCAGGAAAGGGAGAAAAAGAAGTGGTGTTCCTGCGAGGTGACAAAACAAGCCCCTTATAGCCACGCACGTCTGCAGCATGCATCCCTCGGCCAGTTTCGCCCCAATCCCCTCCATTAATGTGAGAGCGCGCGCCCGTGAGGGCCCATTACCATCCTGCAGGATGAGGGTGGGCTGCACCGCCTGTACTCGGAACTGCCTGGCCCTCCAGCCGGGGCTGGGCGCCCGCACCACCTCACTGTCGGACAGCCAGGTCACGGTCTCAAAGTTGTCCCCGCGAGCCAGCGCCTCGGCCTCGGCGTGGTGCACCGCCACCCGGTCGAACTGGTAGAGGCCGCCGGAGTGGTCGAAGTGCACGTGGGTGGCCACAGCCAGCAGCGGCCGGCACGCCGCGTCCTCCTTGGCCCCGCGGTCCTGCAAGAGGCCGGAGGAGTACAGGTACTCGGGGAGGCTGCGCAGCCCCAGGCCCGTGTCGATCACCACGTCCTGCTCGGAGCCACGCACCAGCCAGATGTTGGCGCGGTTGCCCGACTCATAGAAGCGTTCCTGAATCCAGAAGATGCCGTCGCCCAGAGACTTGTGGGCGTACCACTCGAGCGCCGACATGCTGGGCAGGGATGCAGCCGGGCGGAGTGGGTGTGGGCGTGTGTGCCCCTCGCAGGGTGTCCAGACGCGAGGCGCTGCGGCGGCGTGGAGCGGTCTGCCCGCAGCCAGGGAGGAGGCGCGGAGCCAGGAGGGGGCGGGGGATGCGGGAGGTGCGAGGGAGAACCAGGAGGAGGAAGGACGCGCGCAGACGCTGCCCGGAGCGGCCACCGCACCCTCCCGCCTGGTCTGCAGAAAACAGAGGCTGCTCGGCCCGCCCCGGGCGCTGGAGCAATCGCAGGCTCTGGAGCCGCAGCAGGAGGGAGCGTTCACGCAGGGGCCACTGCAGCAGACTGGAGACACAGAAGGCGACACGGTCCCCACCTCGGGGGCCTGACTGCAGAGGCCAGGAGCGAGGCGTGGGAGGCTCCAGGCCCGCCCACCAACCGCGCGCCGCGATGCGCACTTTCAGCCGGCGCGGAAAGAGTCTGGTCCAGCCGGTTGGATGACTACGGCGCCTGCCGAGGGCTAAAAAGCTCTTGGCCCAGTGGGCGGGGCCTCGCTCGGGGGTGGGCGGAGCTAACTAGTCGGGATGCGAACGCGGCTCTGAGGCCGCATGGAGGGCGGAGCACGCTTCTCCAGAGGTGGAACCAGCAGCACCCGAGAGCCGGCGCCCTCGGTCCGCACCCCTTCTTTGCCGGCCGGCGCTTCGGCTGCGCAGTGTTGCCCAAGCCTCGAGACTTAGTGAGCAGGTAACAGAGCAAGCGATTGAGGGCCTGGGAGGAGATGGAGAGGGTAGAGGGTAATTAAAGAGGCACATGGAGAAGGTGGGGGAAGTCGGGGATGAAGATTCATTAAAGCGCTTCTGGATTGAGAGGCGTTGGAACATAGCTTTACCTCCCCTTTTCCTAGTCCCTTCAAAATCTTTTAAAGTCGTCGTTTCCAGATCTTACCTAGTCTCCACTTCTTGGGACTGTTTGCAGTGAGTGAGAAGGGCATTTGTGCTCTTACCGATGGTAGATTTTCAAATCCGATGACTAGGGTTGGTTCAGGCACGAGTCATTGCCGCAGACTTGCAGCTAAGGACAGACTATTCAGTATGTTTTCTTAACTGTTGGCACTTTACCCTGTATCGTGGGAGAGGGGTTGTTAATAAGGATTTTCTTCTCTTCTACATAATGAAATTCTGTATTCCTCCTCCCATCCTCCATTTTTTCGGTTACTTTGTCCGCTCTTGGAAAAGAGCAAAGAAAGTTGGTAGAAAGGCTCAACTAAGGAAAGGTGGAGGCAGCCGCACCTTGTGAAGACAGGAAAAGTGGATACTGACTGGGTGTGCCCCCCCCCCGCGACATAAATCACCCCCACTATTAACACCAGGTCCCTGTCCCCACCCCACCCCACCCTTCCCAGCTATTGAAACATCTATTTAGGCGTCAAAAATTCCCTTGAAGACTTGACTAACCTCCCTACTCAGCCAGGAAAAATTATAAAACACCCATGAGACAACATTATAGAAGATAATTAGGAAAACCTTTACTGTGGCAGCTACTAGAAAGCCTTCCTAGAAGGAGAAGTGTACTCTCCCCCCACCCCCAAAGCCTTCGGTAGGGATGCAGCGGTTCTGAATAGGTTCTGAATAGTTTCCTCGTCTAGTTAGAAGTTATCCAGTCACTGTTCAGGGCTATCGTTATGTGCAAGTCCCTGAGCTAGGTGATCTGTGAAGAACAGAATTGTGCCAAAAAAAAGTCATGATCTGGGTTCTCAAGAATTTAGGGAAGATAATATCTGTACACATATTTGCAATATAAAGCAATATGGGATCTGTACAGCAGAGGAAGTCAAAACTAGGTGCTATAAGAATACAGAGGGCAGGGATTATGGGGAGTGGCATTTGAGCTGTCCTCAGGACGTTCTCAGCAGGGAAGCACAGAGCTCACTGTAGTTTGGGTATCTTTCGTCTAGGCAAAGGGGATCCACTGGAGGTGAAATGGAGTGATATCTTCAGTAGGCCATGAGCTCAGCAATAATTCATCGGGTATTCACTGGACTTTTGCCAAGCTCTGCTGAGTGATGGGGCAGGAAAAGGGGAGTAAGTCTTCAAGGAGGCCTTACACTTACAAATCCCTCTGCTTGGATCAGCCTTTCCCCTGGATATCTTCCTAGTCCTTGGCATGGCTCTTTCTTTCACTTTTGTCAGGTTTGTGCTCAAATACTACAGAATACAGGAGGACTTCTCCAACCATCCTTTCCATAATAGCACCCATGTTTCCTGTTTTTTCTTTATATCACTGATCACTACCTGACACTTTCTATAAAATATATTTATATTTTCCATTTCCCATACTAGACTATGAGCTCCATGAGAGCAGAGACTTGTTTTGTTCACTGCTATATTCCCAATGTGTGAAAGATGGTCTGACACAGAGGATGCTTCATAAATACTTGATGAATGGATAAGTGAGGAGCTTACTGGGCAGACAGACAAGAACTGACAATTACAACATGATTTTAAAAAGGGTAATAAAAGCAATGTAGTACTAGGGAAACAACAAGGAGGGAGAGGCCTACCTCCATGTAAGCTGGAGGAAATGGTCACAGACAAGTGTCATTTGCATAGCATCTTAAATGATGCTGGGGCTTGCTCAGGTGGATGTGGGAGGAAGGCACCCCAGGCAGAAGTAATGCTATAGGCATGAGCTGGTGTAGCAGACTTGAGAGTGGCTAGAGTGTAGGATACATGGGGCGAGAGGCAGAAAGTTAGACTTGAAAGCTCTGCCAGTTAAGGAGAGTAGCACATCAAGGTTTGTGTTCTAGAAAGATGACCGGAGAGTGGCTTGAAAGGGGGAGTCTGGCCATGGGAAATTTATTTGTTCTGTATTAGAATTCTAGGCGAGAGATGGTGAAGGCCTGAACTGAAGCAGAGGTGAAGGAAGGTGAACATGTGAGAGAGGACACAGAGCTGATAGTCTTCTGCTGTTAGATGAGGGGATTGAGGGAGACGGAGAGGAGGTCAGCATGACTACCAGGTTCTTATTGGGGCAACTTAGGTGTCATTCATTAGGAAAGATACTGTGACCTGGCTTTCAGTGCGTCCCCTAGTTTCCATGCCTGCTTACATCTGTTTGTACATTTATTCACCTAGCTAATATGTGCAAAAGACTGTGTGAGATGTGGAGAAAAATACATTTAAGCACAATCATAATTCATAAAAGGTTAGAACTAGGAGAAGTTTCAGAGGTTAGCTCAGCCTTTGCCACGGGGTTGTTTTTATAGTTGATTAGAATGGGCTTTTGCATTTCAGCTCGTGGTTGGTTGAACTACACTCATCAAGCCATCTCAAAACAATTCTGAATAGGAATTTTCAGGAGGCATCCCAAAATGGAAAGATGATGCTTCTGATTTTACATTTTTAAATCCAGTCAATTTTGCCATTACTAATTCACTTCACTGTAAAGATTAAACACATCCACGGGATTAAAAAACTATTCAACTAGCCTAGAAATGTATTTCAGGCAGCGTAATGGAGAAAGGACAATGGAGAAAGATATCCTGAGGCTTTACCCCAGTCCACTCGTTGTTAGCAATTAACTGCGTGTCTTCAGGTAGTCAGCTAACCTCTTAGGGCCTCACTTTCCTCTTCTATAAAATGGAAAGTTTATTCTGGAGGAATGGTTCTTGATTTAGGCTAGACATTGTAATCTCCTGGGATGCTTTAAAAAGTCCTGCCTAAATCCCACCTCCAAAGATTCTGATTTTATTGTTCTGGGGTGAAGCCTGAGTTGTTGTTGTTGTTTTTAACTCCCCTGATAATTCCAATTTACAGCCAGGTCCCAAACTTCATAGTTCTGGAAATTAAAATAACAAAAACTTAATAGTAGGCTGACTGAATTGTACTTCTGTGGGTAAATTTGCTCATGAAATCACATTAAATAAATTAATAAGGAAAGCTGAACATTAATTGTGGAACTGTTGCTATATAGGGAGCACTATATAGGGGATATAAAATCTCCAGTGTTAATCCAGTCGAAGAAATAAGCAAACAAACAAAAAACATGAGTGAAACTTCTTCCCTTTGGAAAAGGCTCATTTTCCAAAAGGAAGGTTGTCTCTATTTGTTTCAGAATTGACGAGTGTAGCAATATGTGTGTCAGCTCAATTTTTAAAAATCCATTTATTTTAACAGGAGGATCTTTCCAAGAGTCAGGTGGGATGAAATGACTGTTGTGGATGTTAAGGGACTTACACTGGATCTTAAGGTGTAAAGGGATGCCGCTGGGCGGGGAGGAAGAGGAAGTAGGTTGTCGTGGGGAGAATGATAGTCAAGACCTGATTACAGAAGAATGAGTCAGGAGGATAGGTGCAGCCATCTTACAAGGGCTCTGAGTACTTGGATAGGGAGTTTGGATTTCATTCTCTAGCCCAGAAGGAAGATGAGAAGAGTAGCATAATCAGAACTATGCTTTAGGATGAATAATGTGGAAGAATAAGTTAAAATAAATGGGAAGAACAAGGGGTACCACAAAACTTGCAGTCAATCAAAAGTGAGGTGGGAAAGGGCTGGGCCTGATTATGGTAGAGGAAATGGAAAGGAAGGGGCATTTTGAAGGAAAAATTAGATGATTGATTTGACAGGAGGTGTGGAACACATGAGGAATCAATACTGATTCACTCCACATCTTCAAATGTTGGTGACTGGGAAAATAATATACCATGGATAAAAATAGGGACATTATACATGAAAGGCAAGCTCGTTAGTGTAGGGAGAAGATGATCTCAGTATTGTCGTTTAAGGTGCTGTCCATATATTTTTATGGTGATAAGAATATGGGTTGAAACTCAAGACAGAAGTCAGTGCTGGAGGTAATGGTGTGGAGAGGTCATCAGACCCAGAGAGTGGGTGCATTTTCTGAAGATAGAAAAAGAACAGAAAACCAAAGATTGAACCTTAAGGAAATCTATATTTAGGGTGGTTAAGAAGAGAAGTAGACACAAAAATTGTCAATGGGGTAGAAGAACCTGGAGTTTTATTAAAGCCTGGGGAAGAGAACTTCAAAAGGGAGGAGGCAAAAATGAGCAGTGTGCTTTGGAAGTCCAAGAGCAGGAACAAGGAGAAAAGGCCACTGGATTTTACCAGTGGAGACCGTTAGGGACCTTGACAGTTCAGCATCTTCGTGAGTGTAGTTCCCACCACAAGATAAAAGCCAAATGCTTTACCACAGCTCACACAGAGCTGCACCAGATCTGGCCTCCACCGGCCTCTCCTTGCTCCTTGCTCCTCACCAACCACATGAGCTTCTTGTTCCTCAGACACTCCCAGCTTGTGGCTTCCTCCTCTGCCCTTGCTGTTTCTTCTTTCTGTAGCCATCTCCATCCCAACCCTCCATCTTGTGGCTCACGGGCCCTCTCCAGCACAGTGCTCAGATTTATCCTCCACCGAAAGACCTTCCTTGCATGAAAAACCCACTGCCATACCCTTTTGTTATTCTGTATCTCCTTACCATGATTTATTTTTCTTCAGAGCTGTATTGATTTCCTGTGGCTGCCATAACATAATACCACAAGTTGGGCGGCTTAAAACAACAGAAATTTATTCTCTTACATTTCTGGAGGCCAGAAGTCTGAAATCAAGGTGTCAGTAAGGTTTGTTCCTTCTGGAAGCTCTGAGGAATACTCTTCGATGCCTCTTGCCTGGTTTCTGGTGGCTCCTGGCACTCCTTGGCGTTCCTGGCTTGGAGCTGTATCACTCCAATCTCTGCCTCCATCTTCACTTGCTGTTTTCCCTGTGTGTCTGTCTCTCTGTCCAAATTCCCCTCTTATAAGGACACCAGTCATTGGAAGAGGGCTCACTCTAATCCAGTACAACCTTATCTTAATTGGATTACATCTGCAGAGACTTTATTTCCAGATAAGGAAGGTCACATTCACAGGTACCAGGGGTTAGGACTTCAACATATTTTGAGGGGGGACAAATTCAACCCACATCAAGAGCACATAATTTTATGTTAGACACTTATTTGTTTACTTGTTTATGTTCTTTCATCCACTGAAATATAAGCCCTGAAGGCAGGAACTTGGTTTTGTTCAATGCTGTCAGGTCCTACCTATAATGCTCAATGTTGTTAAATGAATGACTTCATGCAATTGGCCCATATGAAGTTGAGGAAGATTTGGATAATGAGGAAATTGGGACAAATGGCTTAAAAAACTCTTCATTCAAGAAGTTTGGCAAGTGCAAAAGGAACAAGGTGGTAGTTGAATCAACTTAAAGGATTTCAAAGAACTTAGGCTTAGGCCTTGCTTGTGAGCAATTTTTCCCGTGAGACAGTTGCCCGAGTCCAGGGAATACCTGTCAGCCTCTGCAAGAGAAGAAAATGAATGTAGCAGCTTCTCCAGGTACAGGAGAACTGACCCGTGACAATCAAACTGGAAAGAGAAAGATTTGTAGGCCAGAATGCCAGGTAGTTATTCAGGGTGTCTCAGGAGCTAAGACTGATTATTCTGCCAAGGGCAGTGCATTCACTAATGGTATCAATTTATATATCAAAGGTTACCTGGTAAATACAAAAGTTTAAAGTCAGCAGAGTTTGATATTTCTCAAAGGGTATTCCATCAAGCAATGGTAGCTGATATACTCTCTTTTTAGGGTGAATTTTCCAAATTGCTTCCCAGAGCCCACCTCCAAATATTCTGGTGTAGTAGGTTTGAGGGCTTGAGGATCTCTTGGGACTCTGTATGTTTAACAAGTCTTTCAGGGAATTCTCATGGTCAGGCAAGTTTGGGAAACCTAGAATTGTTCTTAATCTCTGATTAGTGGCAAATCTCGGATTGGAATTCAGCCCAGTGGGCTTGACCATGCTACTGGGCTCCTACAATTAGTTTCTTAGAGTGAAGGTGTGAGCCCTTCTGCTCTGCAATTTTCATACTTGGGAGACCTGCTTTCTGTAGGTTCAGCATATGCTTTAGTGACTCAGCAATTGAAACAAGGCCATTTGGATATTTTCCTTTTATTGTGGACAGATGGAATGAACTTGGTTATTAAAATAAGTACCTTTTTTATGTGAATTGTGTTTCATAGTAACTAAGTAGGTGAATGAGGAGAATTGATTCCTGGTAGAATTCCAGTTAATAAATACAGAATAAATGATAAAATTTGTATATCACCACGTTACAATCCATAATGGAATAATGGATCTAAGCTACAATCAGTGGCTGCTAAAATCATTAGGTGAAAACTGATGGGGAACTTTATACTAGATAAAACAGGCTGACAGATCCTGAACCCACTGACCAAGAGAGAGACTTGATGTGCATCCTGATGTGATGCAGTAGGAAAAACAGCATCTCTTTTAAGTATTCTTGCAAAAAAATCAAGCCCAAATTTGAGTAAGCCTCTAGTCCACCTGATTATAGAAAATACAGGGAATAGAGGAATGTGTTAACCACATCTCATATATGCAATCACTGAAATCCAGAATATGGGAAATTGTACAGCCTTACTACTCGCCAAGTATGGTCTGCAAACCAACAGCATTGGTATCTCCAGAGAGCTTGTTAGAAATGCAGATTTTTAGGCCCCACCCTCAGGCGACTGAATCCTAATCTGCATTTTAACAAGAGTTCTAGGTAATTCACATATGCCTTAAAGTTGAAGAAGCATTGTACAGGACAATGACCTCGTCTTTTCAACAAGTAAATAGTAAGGAAGAAAAGGGAGGGAACTGTTAGAGTGGTATGGGAGGGCATATTATTGCTCTCTTGGGCACACAGGGTTGAATGATACTCAGTATTAACAGTGGGAAAAGAGATTTAAAGAAGATGCGCTCTAGTCCTCACTACAGTCGAATGCAGAGTTGTGGTGCAAGAGCCCTACTGTGGCAATCCCTGTTAATACTCTGCCAGCTCAGTTCTCACATAGTGAAATCATGTTTCAGACAATCCAGAAGTTCAGTACAGGACTTGAGTATATGACATCATTATTGTCCCCAAAGTTGAAGATAGTACAGGTTTATCTTACCTTTAACTATTTCAGATGTTTTTCTCTGAACTTTAAAAAAATTTTTTTGCTTGAACAGACATCTTCAGAGTCTTACGGAGCCTATTCCCATTTTGAAAAGGACATTAGATTAGATCTCAAGGATCCTTTCTAACACTCAAATTCTAGGATAAATAAGTCACTAAAAATTTAAAGTGTCTTGGGGCCGGCCCAGTGGCGCAAGCGGTTAAGTGCGGGCGCTCCGCTGCAGCGGCCCGGGGTTCGCCAGTTCAGATCCCAGGCAAGCCATGCTGTGGCGGCGTCCCATATAAAGTGGAGGAAGATGGGCACGGATGTTAGTTCAGGGCCAGTCTTCCTCAGCAAAAAAAGAGGAGGATTGGCAGATGGTAGCACAGGGCTGATATTCCTCACAAAAAAAAAAAAAAAAAACTGACGTGTGTATGACTGCTGATGGTCTTCAAGTTGAATGAAAAAGCAAGACATCTTCTCTTCATCAGCCAACATTTCCTGGTTCATATTTTTTATGTATTTCTAAGATCTCGTTGCCAAATAACAGAGGGGTAGAGAGACTGAGAGTGGTTCGGGCAGCATCTCAAAGGAGACCCAGGGTGAGCCCTCCACCAGGACCTGGGTGAGGTGGTCGAGGCCATCCATCATCACCTCACCTGCCAAACGTGACTAAATGTGAGGGCTTCAGGAATCAGTCTATTACATGTTTATTTCTTTACAAATTTTGCTTTCCAGAAGTGTTTTCAATTGGCCATGCTACTTAAGGGGTGGAGTGTATTTTGCTTTAAAATATTGGTTTTATTTTTCAGGTGATCCAGTGAATCTTAATCATTAATAGTGTCTTTCAGAACTTGCCCGCATAACTAGTTCCGATGGCTGGGAATAAAGGAAGAGGACGTGCTGCTTATACCTTTAATATTGAGGCAGTGGGATTTAGCAGAGGTGAAAAGTTACCCGATGCAGTATTGAAACCACCCCCACTATTTCCTGTAAGTACATTAACAGTGGAATTCTCAGTGTTTTTTCATGTTTCAGAGAAAGTTAAAGTTTTATATAGGACTTGAGTATATGCTATCATTATGATATCCTAAAGTGTAAGAAAGTAAAAGAGAGTGTGTTTCACTTACCTTTAATTTAAATATTTCCACTGTTCTTCCCTGAACCCTTTCTAATTTTTAGACAGCTTTCTTGAAATACAGAAAACAAAACTGTATACGCCTTTCCATGAATATATTCAGTACTATGTGAACTAAGAATTTTTTTTAATTCTTACATCTTCTATTGTTGTTATTGGTATTTTCCAATATTAAAATAATATTTTTAAAAGTAAAGTTAGGTTTTACAGTCAGGTCCCACTCTACCAGACTTTCACTTAATGATTTTTCTTCTCGTCTTGTATCTATAGAATTTAATTTTGCTTCCTAGTATACCACTTGGCCTTTTTTCCCACTGAATTTATTTATTTATTTTTTGCTTATTTCCCTATTTTATCAAAATCAATTTGAATTTTGTTACTGTTGCTCAAAATATAAGCATTTCTACTACATTTAGTTTTGTTTTTAAATTTAATGAGTAGGCTGCAAGCTTAATTGGCATAATGTTTAATCTAATGCTTTCGCTTGATATTTAGTTTAAAATGTAAACTTACATTTCCAGTGTATATGTTGTGGTATAAAAAGTGAAAAAATCATAAATAACCAAGTATCCCTCCCTCCAGGAATCTTTCCCCTATTTCAAAAGGAAAAGTCCTTTGTTGAAAGATTTATGTAAGTAGAGGACCCTGGACAGATGTATCTGGGCATCTAGATGTCTCTCATAGGGAGTCTTTTTGCTTTTGATATTCTGCCTTTCTTATATTCAGTACAGTCTAAAAACAAAGATAAACATCTCAGGTGTAGGCATGATGTCACTTTACATTGATTTCTTTTAAAACAAGCTCTTCTTCATGTGTGAGAGTACTTCTAAACACTGGGAATATTAGTACATACTGTTGTTTCATACTTGGCATAAAATCGAGATTTCGTATTCCTGGCTAGCAGGCTGTCTGATCTAGCCTGTCTGGTGTCTCTCTGACCCTTTTCCTACCACTGTCCTCCTCTCTGCCTAGCCATCATGGCCTCCTTGTTCCCTCAGGTGTTTTCCTCTGCTGGTTTCCCTGGCTGGAACCATCTGTTCCCCAAGTCTTTGCATGGATGGCTTCCTAATTTTATCCACATCTCTGCTCAAATGTGACTTCCCCAAGAGGTCATGCATGCTTACCCTGTGTAGACCGGCCACCTCCCTCCTCCATGTACTGTCGGTCACTGTTTCCTCTACTCAGCTTCATTTTTTTATGTCACTTGTCACTACCTGAGATTATATATTACCTTATTTGTTTACTTATGTTTTGTGTTTTTCTCCCTTAGAAAGTAAGTTCCATGCAGGCAGAAACTTTGACTAGTTCATCATGGTATCTCCTGTTGTCTAACCATGTCTGGCTTATAGTCGGCACTCAATAAATAGTTGTAGAATGAATGAATAAATTCAGAGTGAAATTTTGAAAATGTACCCTCTCTCTGTAGCTTCTGAAACCAGAAATGCCTTTACTACGTACCCTGAGGATTCACTTTTTTATGAATATATGTATTTTATGAATATATATATACGTATAAATACAAATGCCTGTGTGTGTAATTTTTTAAAATTGAAGATGCAGATTCAAACTCCTGCTTTGCCATTTATGTGTTATGTGGACTTACAGATTGTTCATTTCTCAATTTCTTCACTATAAAAGGGGAAATATTGATGATACTTTAAATGAGATCGTGGGTGTTGAATACTGAGTACATCCTGGTCATAGTAATCACTTGCTAAATGATGGCTGCTACTATTATTTTTTTTTATACTTACTGCTTCCACCAATACCACCACCAGTGACTGAGGTTAATAGGAGACTAAAGCAGTTGCTCTCATTTGGTGCCTTGATTTTTAAAATATGGGTTCCCCCAGTCAACAGACTAGATAGCAAAATGATTATTGATGTGGTCAGCAGGAAAATTAAGCATCTTTCCTACCTCTAAAATAAGAGCAGGGGGCTGGCACGGTGGCATAGTGGTTAAGTTTGCACGCTCCTCTTCAGCAGGCCAGGGTTCGCTGGATCAGATCCCGGGCATGAACCTACGCACTGCTCATCAAGCCATGGTGTGGCAGTATCCCACATACAAAGTGGAGGAAGATTGGCACAGATGTTAGCTCAGTGACAGTCTTCCTCAAGCAACAAAGAGGAAGATTGGCAACAAATGTTAGCTCAGGGCCAATCTTCCTCATCAAAATAAATAAATAAATAAATAAGAGCCAAGTAGGAAGTGGGCTAAAAGGTTAAATAGATTACAAAGTTCAACATCTTTAAGTTGATTGTAAAACTTAATACCTATAAAATGTAGCTTTTCAATAAAATTGACATTTTCCAGAATATAGAAAAAGGGATATTAAAATATTTAATTTATTTAAAAAAAAACAAAACCATGTTTCTTAATTTAAACAGGATGCAGATTATAAACCAGTGCCACTGAGAACAGGAGAAGGTGAGGATTATATGCTGGCCTTGAAACAGGAGTTGAGAGAAACTATGAAAAGAATGCCTTATTTCATGGAAACACCTGAAGAAAAACAAGGTGTGTATTGAACTCTTTGATTATATGGTTCCATGTATACAGACAAAACAATGTTTTGGCATAAGATATATGGTCCTTTAATGCTGATTGATTTGATTCAATCACAAATTAACTACCTTGAAAAAGCATATTTGTGTTGATTTAATAGAAAATATATTTTAAACTTTTTGATATTATTTAAATTACCTTTCACAATAGAAGTTTTATATGTTCAGTGAAAATTATGAAAAATAGAAAAATACTTTAAAAATGAAAACACCTATAATACTTATGTCTAGAGAACTAATTTTAATATTTTATTGTATATTCTAGATTTTTTCTTTTGTATGTGTATTCTTTTTACAAAATAGGATTCGTATTACTTTTTCTCTATTACTATACGTTTTCACTCAATAGTATATTGTTAGCATTTTACTTAGTATTCTCAGAAAATATGATTTTTTAATGACTATGTGGTATTCCATTGTGTGGATAGAACATTATTAATTGTAACTAGTTCCCTGCTATTAGATTTAAGGTTTTTTCTAGTTTTTTTGCTCATATATATGAAACTGTGATTACTATCCTTATACATAAACCTTTATGCAGTTCTGATTATTTAATATTTTGGTTAAAATTTTTAAAAGCCTTGACTATATTTTGGCTTACCATTTATGTATCAGATATAATAGAAAATATAAACCATGTATTCACTGCTTACACCAAGGATAGAGAGGAGAAATTACAGTTGAAGGCTTGACAGTCTCAGATTGGAAGTGGGAAGTGGTTTTAGAGGAAAGGAGCTCATTCCTAAGTAGTTATTTAGCACAGTAGAACTATATTGATTTTCAGTTTCTGCCCTTGAATGTTGAAATTAGAGAGATCGATATCATCCTTCAGTTCTCAAAACAACATCATTAAAACATGAGAAATTCACATGGTATCATTTCATTCTATTAGTATTAAAAATGCATTCCATTTTCCCTCTCTCTAAAAGACTTAGAGTTGGCTAAGAGTCAACGAATGTCTTAGTTAGTTATATTACATGTGCTTGTAATTATAAGAAGCATTTTAGACAAATTCACTTAATTTTTCAAGGCATAGCTGCTTGAAGTTATATAATAGTTTGATAAGAGATATTTTTACCTCAAAAATACTGAATTTTTTTATTTTCGTAATTATGTTGCATACTTTTATATATTTGAGTTCAAAAATGAAATTAAAGCTCATTTTAAAAAGTAAGACTAAATTAACTAGTAAATATTCATTCTTATTTGAGAAAATAGTAGTGTAGAGTATATTTTAGTCTTTTTAAAATTACTCTTTTCTCTAGATTATAGGACAGATTTATTTAACTAAATGTGGTTATTATTAAAGCACATGTCTAATTTAAAAGTATATCATATCATTAAAGCATTTATGTGAGTCTTTTAGACGGGGGCACTAAGAACATAATTTCATTGCTGGTTTCTGGGAGTGGTTGGCTTGTACCTGGATTAAGAGACTCTGTCTTTGATAACTGCACAATACGTATTTAAAAACATAAGGAATCTTTTGCTTCTGTTTCCTTCAGAAGAAAACTCTTGTATAGGATTTTCCAAATTCATACAAGTACATTCTCCTTGAAGTCTTCATGTTTACCTCTCTTTCCTAATATAATGTATTTTAAAAAACTATGGTTGAAAAGAAAGGGTTTTTAAAAATATATTATATACATACATATGTGTGTATATAGCTTAATATATACTACATAGATGCGTATATACATATATATACACACACACACACACACACACACACACGTGAAATGTTTATATAATATACACACCATGAATGAAAAAGAATCGGCCAGACTAAATAGAAGTATGCAACTGTCAGAGGGAGCCTATTCTAGATAGTGTTACATCGCTCACCAGCTTTCTACCATCACTTGCCACCTAGGTGCTTTGAGAGAAACTTGCAAACTAATGTAAAGAACTAAATCAGAAGAGACTGGGGCAAGCAAATAGGGTAGGAGATCTCAAGACTTCCTGATAATCAAGTGGCTGGTGGCTCAGGGCATTGAGATTTGTCACAAAGATTTGAGGGCGCAGATAAACATATTTCATGTTGTGGTGTCTTCAAGGTTTGTTATAATGTTTTCAGGCAAAATTATAGCAATGATTGGTATTGCTTTTACAATGAAATTTACTATTTTTATAAACAAGGAAAAACACTAATGGATATTATTATTTTAATGAATTTTAGCTGCAAGGGTACATAGAGAACATCTGGTCCAGTGGTTCCCAGCTCAGGTTCCTGAACCACTGGGCTCCTCTGAGGTAGAAACAGGAGTGACAGTGGTGGTGGTTCTGTAAGCCATTTTCAGAACTTCAAAAGCTTAATGGAAATTATATATTTACCTGCAAATGGCCTTAAGACCTGTTATTGAATAAATGGAGTTTGTTTGGTTTATTAACTCGCAATATACCATCAGAGTCCATGAGACCCTATTTTAATTTTTGAGTTTCTTTTTGAGCGGTTCTTACTGTATGTAATAATTGATATTCATAACTTTTATTTTTTCATAAAAAATCTTCCAAAGAACAAAGAGAATTTACTTTAAAAAAGAAAGAAAACCCATTTTATCTTAGCATTACCGTATCAGCCCATTGGACCCTTTTATAAGTCTAAAATACATTTTGGAATCTTAGTGATCTTATTTTTCCTGCATGTTGAAACATTTTGCTGTTTCATCATCAAATATATTATTTCATCATTATTCATCAATTATTCCCCACTCTGCTGAAAAGACTAAAACATTTAAAAAATTGAAGAATGATGAAATTGCACACAAAGATGGTGCAATATTGAAATAAATCATCACTATTACTTCATCCTTTAGTTTTCCTGTTGTGTTGCCCAAAGTATTACACTAATTTTTTTTTTTTTTTTAAAGATTTTATTTATTCATTTTTTTCCCCCCAAAGCCCCAGTAGATAGTTGTATGTCATAGCTGCACATCCTTCTAGTTGACATATGTGGGATGCGGCCTCAGTATGGCCGGAGAAGCGGTGTGTCGGTGTGCGCCCGGGATCCGAACCCCGGGCCGCCAGCAGTGGAGCGCGCGCACCAACCGCCAAGCCACGGGGCCGGCCCAGAGAGGCTCTTGTCTTTGTAGTTAGGATAAAAAGGAAATACGATATTCTCATACAGTTAATCTTTGAAAAGCACCTCATCACGTAATATTTCTGGAACATCTTGTTTGCTAAAATGACGTGACGATTTTTTCTTTTTTTATGATGGTTATCTACCAAAATTTATTTGATGTAGTTTGTAACTGGACAAATGCCGAAGGCAAAGACAGAGACAACGATGATTGAAAGGAAATAGATTATGTAGAAATGAAACAGTTTATTGGATTGATCATATGAATTGGTCATTATAAATTTAATAATGAAAATGTTTTACAATTATAGACCAAAGAAGATGGCTGGGCCATTCTCTCTTCAACCAAAGTGTGAGCCATCAAAGTTTTTAAAAGTATTACATTATGATGATGCAAGTACAAGAAGAAGAATTGGAAGTAATGATAAGCTAGAACCAGTTAGAGACGTATTTGTCATCTAGAGTCATTTGGATGGTGCAAGTGCAAGAAGAAAAACCAGAAGTCATAAGTGAGAATTTATTAACGGTGTATTTGAAATCTGAAATCAGGATATGTGAAATGCGTATATTCAGGGTTTTTCATGACAAACCTAGAATGCACAGTTGATGCACAGTTAGCTACATCAAGGGACACTGCTTCTTTGGGGTAAATATACCTTCAAAACCAGAAAAATAGTGGAATATAAATTTGAGTTAATTTCTTATTAAAATTTCCAATAGTTTTATTTCTTTTTATTTATTTATTTTTTTTAATAATTTTATTTATTTATTTTTTTCCCCCAAACCTAGAATGCACAGTTGATGCACAGTTAGCTACATCAAGGGACACTGCTTCTTTGGGGTAAATATACCTTCAAAACCAGAAAAATAGTGGA